CTTTTCTGCCCAGGTTGGCCTCAAACTTTTGTCCTCAAACCCAAATAAAATATACTGAATAAAATATTCTCAAGCTATGTTGTCCAATACAACAGTTACTAGACATAGTGAGATATGGTTGGTCCTCAATGTTAAGAATATGTTAAGAACTACAGAGCCAATAGTCCTATAAAGAGTGTATCTGCAAACGCTGTACAGTTTTATATACATTCACAATGTACTTTTGCTGCCTTCTAGATAATTTATTTTGCAACACATTACTGCACAGTTGTAAATAACTTATGTACTGTAACATCACTTTCAGTTATGTGTAAAGAAATAAATTAATTAATTAAAATGTTAAAAAAAAAGAATATGTTAAGAGTGATACACACAATGGATTTTAAAGACCTACTGTGAATACAAGAAATATAAAATCCTGGGGGGGCAGGGGGAGGCTGAGAAGGGATGTGAAGGGTAAACAAAGGAGGAGGCTACAATGCTTGATAAGAAATGTACTCATTATCTTGCCCGTGTAATTGTAACCCTTCTGTACAGTATGTTCACAATTTAAAAAAAAAAAGAAATATAAAATCTTGTCCGTACCTCTATTGATTACATTATGAAATAACAGTATTTTACAAATACTGAATCAAATAAAATGTATCATTAATTCCACCTGTTTCATTTTGCTTATTCACTATGTCTGCTAGAAAATTAAAGTTACATATGTGGTTGGCATTTGTATACCAGCAGGACAAAGTTGCTTTAGAGATGCTTATTACTGACTTTAGTGAATATTAGATTTTATTGGGATTCACTATTTACTTCATACACATCTCCTCTAAATAAAAATATGTGGTCCTTAGAAATGATAATCAATTTTCTATTTATTTCTATAAGCTTTGCTTTGTTATTCCACAACATAAATGTACTACATATGTGAAGATCTATCTTTCTTACATATGAAGCCATACACAAATTTGACACATGTAATCAAGTATGTATAAATGTCTCTACGTATTTCTCTGAAGCTCTGGAGACTGAACCTAGAGCCTTGTGCCTGCTATAAGTACTCTAAGTCATTATTTTATAAGGCAGGGTAAGAAGTAGAAGAAAAAACAGACACTGAACTCCCTCACAAAGGAATTTTTTGTAAAAAAAAAATCACCAATACAAAACCCTATACACAGATGTTCAGAGATAGTATGAACCAAGAATTAGCAATAACCTAAATGTCCATTACTGATGGATAAATAATGTAAAATGGAAGACCAGCAATGAAAAGGAACAAAGAACTGATACTTTATCACAGTAAACCCTGAAAATATTATGTGAAACTTAGAAAATAGGTAGTTATGAGGGGATTAGAGATTAGGAGAAGAATGGGGAATGACTTCTCTTGGGGATGATGTTTCTAAACTTGACTAGGTAGACATTCGTACAAGTCTATGGGTATATTTTTAAACACTGAATTGTACACTTTAATTACCAATCAATGAAAGCTCTTAATAAAAGAAAAGGCAGAAAACTAACCAGCAAAGAAAAATGAGAAAAAAAAGTTTATCAGTCTTACTGAGAACACTCTGAGGCCTTTCCTTTATTCTGATAGTCCATTATACACTGAATAAGATGGTTATTTTCATCCAACATCTGAAATGAAATTAGAAAAAATGTAAATGTCATATATCAAATAAACTAGAAATGTGAAGGAAATTAATAAATACAGCTTAAAGTGGATCCCTTAATAAAATACTATTACCCCAAAACAATCATTACATAATGTAAAAATCATTTTTAAGCAGGGACACAAAGAAATGAAATTCTCTTAAAACTCCTTTTTGTCAATGTTGCTATTTTATAAAATTTTTAATTTCACTCCAATAACAAATTCTAAAGTAAGATTAGTAGAACTAGCTCTTTCTCACATAGTTTCATTAGATACTAAACTAAATTTCTACAAAATTGGGCACTACACAGCTTATATAGATAATCCTTTCAATAGTGATTTTTTTTTGTTGTTGTTCAGCATTCTAGAAACTTTTCATCTATATAGGAACTGGCCCACTAGGATCTTTTTCACATACATTCTAAAGCTTACCATAAAAAAGCTTTATTTTACACTTTTGGAATCATGTAAAATCAGTAATTTTTAATATCTCTATTCTGATTAATCACCCTCTGAATTATTAACTGAAGCCCAGAGAGAAAATAATAAAACCTTTCCGAAAGTAAGTTGGTTTTGATGTATTCTCATGCTTTGGGGTAAGAAACAGTCCTTAGCCAAAATGAAGTAAATACATGAAAACTTCAGTCCAGGAACCTTGAGTAGGCAGACTGCTGGCTAGTTTCCAAGTTTTATAACAGTATTTTTGTGATTCTCCAAATAGAATGCAATAATAAAATACAATTATTTCTATGTACTATCTATAAGTTGTCTCAAAAAAATAAAAACAAACAATATACTAATTTATCATTCTATTGTCTTACAGTTCTAAATAATTCTGACTTTGAGAGTTAAATAATTCAACTAAGTTAAGTGGCACTGAAGAAAGAGTACTGATCACAGCAATCAAGAGTTAAGTTTTGTGCCAGCTTTGCTATCCTTAGCAAACCACTTAAATCTTCAGGAGCTTTAAGATCCTTCTGAAAACGTTCAGTCAAATAGTAAGACACAATACCACAATCACACGAGGTCAATAATTTAATGCAACTCTTCTAATTAACATTAAGACCCATATAACTTTAGCTGTGACTTTTTCCTGCACATTTTTCATAATCTTCACTTGTTGGGAAAATGTGACTTTCTAATAAGCAGTTAATTCTTAAGTACAGAAACCAGATGCCAAAAATGTACCTCTAAAAACGCATTAATCCAGTACTGTATCTTCTCACCCATTTTCTTCAATCTAACAAACTTGACAATTAGACTGTCTCAAAGCTATCAATTTCCAAAAGGGAAAAATGAAGCACCTAATTTGGGATCTATTTTCCTCTTATCAGAGAATGGAAAATAATTGAGCATCATTCACTCCAGACTTTCTAGTAGAAAATAATCAATCCTCTAGAAATACAGTGTATGTATGTACATGTGATGTCTCCTCAGGCTGTAGACTCAGCACTGCATGAAAACACTACATTTTCCTGGCACTGTTCTGCTAGTTTGTTCAAAAAAAAAAAAGCAACAGTTGGGCAGATGTCAAATGCCCAACTAAGTTCTTTGAAGAACTGACAAAGTTAAACAGGAACCTATTAGCCCGATCTAGGGGTGTAACAGTGATGCCCACGGTGTAGTAAAAGTGGACTTTTCTATTTTCGATTTTTTTCCTACGGTAGAGAACAAGCAAACACGTAAGGTAAGATGCTAAGCTTGACTAGTTAACAACTTTGGGAAGTCTAGCTCATGAAGTTTTAGAACGCTGCAACCAGAGGATAGGAACCTTTGTGCCCACAGAGGACGTTAACACCGGAGTTCGCACTAGCCTCTCCATGAAGGGCACGGCGGACTAGTGTTTTTATCACGACTTATGTAACTGATCACGACTTGACTCCTCCACCAGACCCAAAGTTCCAGGAGGTAGGGACCACGGCTCGCCCAGTCATCTCGGCGCCTGCAACAGGCGTTCTCCATCAACACGTCCATCAGAGGTAAAGCACAGGGGTGATCCAGAGGGAGGGAAGGGGGGGGGTCTGCCCCTCAAGTTCATGGGGGTGCTGGGGTTCCACTTGGGCTGCGTCTCTGACTCTAAAAAGGTTCCCGAGTGAGAGAGACCACCCCCACCCCAACTCCTCCAGCTTGAAAGCGGGGTGACGACCGGCGTGCAGACTTCCCCTCCTGGGGGGTCGGGATCGGCACGAAGCCACCGCGGCGCGCGGGGCGGGGCGACGCCAAAGTAAGTGCGCGCGGCGCGGGGCCCGGGGGCGCGGGGCCCGGGGGGCGCCCGGCTCCGGCACACCGCCCTTCTCCGCGCGGGCGCCGCCGTCGCGCCGCCGCCGCCAGGCGCACGCGCCCGCCGCCCGAACGCCGCCCCATCCCAAGAGAAATCGGGCGGCGGTTGCTCGGGGGCTTTTTGTGTACCCCTGTCCCAAAGTGCCCGAGCGCACCGAGGGCTCGGTGGAGAAACCGGCTCGCCCTCTCCCACTCGGGAAAGGGGGGGGGGGCTCAGCCTGCGCGGCTCGGTTCCCACACTCGGCGGCTTCCCCGCAGGCCCGCCTCCGTCCCCGGCCGGCCGACTCCGGCCCGCCCGGCCCGCGGTGTTTCCCGTAGGAGCGGGACGCGCCTGGCTTCCCCGCAGGCCCGCCTCCGTCCCCGGCCGGCCGACTCCGGCCCGCCCGGCCCGCGGTGTTTCCCGTAGGAGCGGGACGCGCCTGGCAGCCCTGATCCCGAGAGGTTTCACCTTCTGAATCGCCGCGGGTGTGATCTCTCCCTTGCCTCGCTGCCTCGGGGCTGCGAACGCCACAGACATGTTGCCGCCGTCACCGCGATCGGCAAGTCCCGAGCGCTCCCGGAGAACGGCAAACTGGGGGCAAGACGCCGGCCTCTCGGGCCGAACCACTGTGGAATGCGGGGAGGGGGGATGCTGCGGGGCGGCGCACGCCGCCGGCCGGCCCTGCCTAGGGCAGGGGGCGCAGGCCCTCGGACAGTACGTTTCTGGGTGTTTCTGAAGAATTACAGCCCCGCTGGACCGTCTCCGTTCCGGCCCTGGCCCGCGCCCGTCGGCCCCGGCATCGCGGCACCCCCGTCTCCGGGAGCAGGTGGTAGGGCCGCGCCCCAGGCCTCCCTCCGCTCGAGCGATTCAGGAAATGGTCCCGCCGCGGCGGGAGAGGCGGCGGCAGGGGCTGCCCCTGCCACAGGAAATGCGAGCGGCCCGGGGCCGGCCCGCCCCCTCCGCGCGGTCCCTCTCGCCGCCGCTCACCGGCGTCCCTCCCGCCGTGGCTCGGGGGCTCTGCACCCGACCTGCCGTGGTTTTGTTTGTTTTTTTCCAACTTGGTCCTCGCCTCCCCCCCCCCCCGCTGCCGGGGAGAAGCGGACGCTCCGATCGGTCCCCGCTGCGCGGAGCGGGGCGGAGGTAGGTCCGGAGTGGTGCAGGCAGCCCGGGAGCATCTGCCGTGCAGAGTCCGGAGGTGGCAGGAACTCGGAGAACGCGGATTCGCTGGTTTAAATGGCCAGGCTACGCCCCGAAGGCGCACCTCGCCGTGCACGGTCCCGCCAGCTCGCCAAGTGGAAAGTAACCCCGACCCGAAATCGGGACCCGGAGGCCGTGTCCAGCCCTGGAGGGCAGGAGGCCAACGGGAATGGCGCGGCCCCAGAAGAGCCTGGGGTGGCACCCCGTAACTGAAACGCGGGTGGGTGTCTTCAGACTTGGGGAACCTTTGCAAGAGGACGCCCTCACGCTGCCAGTCATAGATGTATGCATACTTGGTGGATTGTCCCCCAGGCCAGACTTCAAGTCCTGGTGCTGGGTGCCGGAGAAGAAGAAAAACTTTTCACATGAATGAAAAAAAAAAAAAAAAACCACCTGCAAATGTGGGTCTATGTGTTGCTGTAGGTTAATCTGTAATTTTAGGCTTTCCTGTAAGACAAAGGGAACGTTGATGGGAAACGTTAAGTCAGTACCTCGGTTTTGTGTGTCAGTACACCAATAGTAAGTCAGTTTATGTGTAAGCTGGAAAGCAATACAGTTTAAGATTTTGTGTCAAGGAAATGCTTTAAAAAAAAAAGGTAAATTGTTCATCCAGAAAATTTGGGTCTCCCCCAAGTTAAGTAGAGAGCCAGGTGCACTCCCAACACCCGTGCGCGAAGAGCCACAGCCTTTCCTGTGATTCTGTCCATGCCATAAAAACACTGTGTGTGTGTACATGTACACATGCACGCGCGCCCATTATATGAAATCTGCTGGAGAGCATCAGCCAGAAAAATTCCAACCAGAAATGCAAATGATCTGAAAGGAGACTCTAAAAAAGGGGCTCTACCTTACCCTCCAGCTTCCTTGATAAAAATCCAACCCTTCTTTAGAAAAGTAGAAGAATCAGAGAGAAGGAAAATGGGGGAGGGGGAGGGGGATGAGTGGGATTAGGGAATACCTAGAGAATGTTGTAAATCTTGTCTTACTTCACCCTTAGTTTAGGGAGGAATCCTGAAGTAGATTGCATGGTGGAAGAATTAGGAGGTAAAAGAAAATAAAGAATGACTGGTATTTAGTTAAGGAAGAAATAGAAAATCTGAAAGGTTAGCCTAAATCTGGGAAATGACTGTGCAGGCTGGTATAAAAGGGGGGGAAAAAGTCATCAGGCAACTATATCCCCAACCAGAAAAATCAGTTCCCATTTATTGAGATATCTGAAGAAAGAATCCAGGTCACAAGCATGAAAGGATTTCAGAATAATCCTAAGGGAACATATAATGTGACAAAATAGAATAATCAGCATGAAAAATTCTTGATTCACACAAAATGACTGTAAAGTAGGCTGATATAACTTAAAAATGAAAATAGAAATTGTTGTACTGTAATAGAAAATTCCATTTGATTTTTTTAAAACATTTCCATTTTTAATTTTATTTCTTAAGTAGATTTCAGTGAACTAGTGAAATGTTGGTGAAATATGTTCATTGTTTACTGAAACTATAAGCATGGGATTAAAAATTAACTTAATTCCTCCAAAATCATACACATGCAGATAATGTAGATAACTTTGCTTTCTTGAAAGAATTTCTTTAATACTCGTTTATAGTCAATAGAATACCTATACAACAAAATCTGCTGGTATTTTAAGCCACTCTACTACAATAAATTCTTAGTATATATTAGGAAGGCACAGACCAAGTCAAGTCTGCTCATAATTGGGCTCAGAGCAAAACCCCTTAGGTAATATCTTTCAAAATATTTCTACTCACAGTCTCTGTGGCATTTGATGAGTCAATTTGAGTTGTGGCTTCCACAGATGTCAAGACTACAAGGAGAACAGCGTATATTTATATAATCATATTCCAGCCAGAACAAATTATTTTTCCAGTGCACTATAAAAGACTTTTATTTCTGATACTCCAGAAAAAATTCATTCAAAGTGAACTATAATAAAACCTAACAGGCATTTTCATGAAGTCGTACATTGTCAGACATTGAATGAATTAAGGATGAATTAAATTTGAAGTATATTTTGAGGATTAGTGATGTAAGGAAATATTTTTCTATAGAGTTTCTGCATATAATATTTATACAGACAATGTTGAAAATGTACAGGTTTGGAATTCCTGCCTATTTTGTCTATGGCATGATATTTAACTGTATTTTTTTTTGTCTTTTCCTTTTTGGTACTGGGGATCGAACCCAGGACGTTGCGCTTGCTAGGCAAGCGCTTTGCCACTGAGCTACATCCCAGCCCTATGGCATGATATTTAATAGGTCATTCCTATATTTCTCATTATGAAAATGTGATGCCCAATCACTAGATATGTTGGAAAAGGGATGTATTCCCAGCATTAGGGAAGTAGAGGCAAATACATTGTAAGTTCAAGGCCACTCTGGAGGTATGTAATAAAATTGACTCAACATAAAGAAGCGGCTAAAACATTATTAGAAGTAGTTGGGTGTTTTGTTTTGCTTTTTAAGTCTTTTGCAGTATAAAGGACTGAATTCAGGGTCTTGCCCGTGCTAAGCAAGTGCTCTACCGCTGAGCTACATACTCAATTCCCAGCACCTTGAAAATAGCCAAAAATTAAAAAAAGAGAACAAAAGAATAACATGATAGTGAAAAGATTATATAAAAGTGAAATTTATGGTAACAGGCATTCTGGCATTCACCTGTAATCCAATCACTGTGGAGGTTGAGGCAGGAGGATTGTGAGTTCAAAAGCAGCCTGTTTACCAGGGATAAGGCTCAAGTCATAGAGCACTTGCCTACCTTGAATTCAGTTCATATCAGTATCAAAAAAACTAAAATTTAAAAAATGATACTGTTGAATGATGTTGATATTAAGACTTTGGGGCTCTTTGAAATGAAAATATATTTTGCATCGTAAGATGGCCATGGGACCAAACATTATCGTTTAAACATGAAATGTCCTTCACAGGTTCATGTGTTGAGTGCTTGGTCCCAGCTGGCGCTGCTATTTTAGGAAGTTCTGCCAGGATTTCAGGACCTTATTAAAGGAACTAGATCACATGAGTCATAACTTTGAAGGTTATATTTGGTACCCAAACCCTGTCTGGTCTCCACTTCCTGTCCACTATGAGATAGTCTCTGTCATCTGCTCCTAGTGGCATAATCTACCTCATCATAGACCAAGAAATACTGAGCAAAGTGACCGTGGGTTAAACACTCTGAAGGGAGCCCAAATAAGCCTTTTATGCTTTACTTATTAGCTCAGATATTTTGCTGAGGACTATGCCAGTGTAACTAACAACACTGAGTAGCATTACAAAATTTCTGACCTCCTGGATATTTCAAACAGTACAAGAAACCCTCAAGGACTCCAAGATCAAACTCCTTAGCAAAAATTTAAAATAAAAAAGAATTTTAAAAGCAGGACTGATGTATCTATTAAGTCAAGTCCAGAAAAATCAAAGAGAAAAAGGAACCTTTGGACTAGGTCAGTAGTAAAGACCTAACATGTCCTGATTCCTTCTCTTAACACCAAAAACAAAAAGTGAGAACTTTTACAAAATAATGAGACAAATATGAAAGCGTAAGATGATAGCTTTCAGCACAAAAATATTGACAGTCACAATGAATATGAATGTTCTAAATAATACAATTAGAAGGCAAAAACTGGGAGAACTTTCTAAATTTGCAGGATTTCCCCTCACAAAATCCTATCTTCTATAAAAAAGGAAAAAAAGAAAAACTAGAGAAAGGTTTCAATCAAGTTTTGACCACATATAAAATTAACCAAAGGTTTGCCAAAGCTACTGCATATTGAAGAAAATGTTAGGATTTTTAACCTGCTCAATAACCAGACAATGCTTGCAGGCTCCAAACTATGCTTGAAAACCAGCTGACTCACAAGTGTAATAGTCATAACAGTAGCAGCATAGCAATCTCTACAGGAGGCAGAATAGGTTTAGAATTTATAAGACAAAAATCAAAAACAACTCCTAGCTGGGCACCAGTGGCTCATGCCTATAATCCTAGCTCCTCAGACAGGTGAGATTTGAAGAATGCAATTCAAAGCTAGTACAGGCAGACAAGTGCCAGAGACTCTAATCTCAAATTAATCAGCAAAAATTCAGCAGTAGAGGTGTGGCTCAAATGGTCTAGTGCCAGCTTCAAACAAACAGACAAAAAACTAAGGGACAGCACCCAGGTCCTGAGTTAAGCATCCACTATAGGTATACACACACATAAACACACAGAGACACTCCTATTCCTAGAGTTAGTTTGTCCTAACAGGTAACTATCTGAGAAATCTAGACTCACAGACCAAAGATTCAAATAAAAATTTTTATCAATCTCTGCAACATTGAAAAGAAGGACACCTTAATTTGTTCTTACCCAAGTCATGCATTTTTGTCGTTTAAATTTATTTATTATATCTTTATAAACCCATAAGAATATGATTTTGATTGAATTAATAATTACTTGAAACTATATGTATTTACTTGTCTTACATTTTTCCCTGTATATCCAAAGGGAGATCACTTTCTTCTGCTTGAAGAAGTTTAATATTTCTTTTTGTGTTTGTAACAAATGACCTTTGTGTTCATGTGAAAAACACTTTCATGTGCCTTCAATTTTAAAGAGTATTCTTACTAGATAGAGAATATTATGTATTTATTTTCTGGCATGTGAAATACAGAATTATTGTCAGAAATTAGCTGATAAGTTAATTTGGCCTATCTACTTAAACTTACATATAATTCTATGTCATGTATTACTCATTGAAAAATACTGGTTCAAGAAGTTACACATATTTTGTAAATATGCACATTATATGCATATTTATATGCAAGTAAATATGCATATGGTATATCACAATTCATATTTTTATATCATCAATTTCATCAGGAGTCTTTATTCATCACATCAAAATTTTTGGACACTTTGATTAGTAACCATGAGATTCTCAAGCTTTAAAATTTCTAAGCTTTCTGCCTGGGTAGAAACAAGTAAAATCTGTTATCATTGTTTTTCTTCAAGTGATAGGCTCACTTTATTCACCTTCAAATGTATGCCAAAATATCTGACTCTAAATAATCATTCTTTCATAAAAGTATTCCATGAGAAATGGAGCTGGTTCAGTCAGCAATTCATAGATTTACACAAGGGCCACACAACAGTAACTCACACTTCTAATCCTAGCTACTTGGGAGACTGAGAATGGAAAGATCATGTTTTGAGGCTAATCT